CTGGGAGTTGAAGTCCACACATCTTAAAGTTGCCAAGGTTGAGAAACACTGTTTTAAGACAATTTTTACCTACTTAACAGGACAGAAAAGAAAAAAAACCCTAAATTTGGGGATGTTTCAAAGTTGTCGGATTGGCTGCAAGTACCAGACAAAAGCAACAGCTTCAGCATCTGGCATATTGTTGCTAACTGTTCAGGCAAAAATTTGGAAGTAGGTTGATGTTTTCTTGTTCTAGGATTCTGCAACTTCCCAATGTAGTTTACATTGCTGCTGGTCCCTTATCCAAGTACTAACCAGGTCAGTTGGGGTTAGTCTTTTGGAATAGGCAAGGTTAGCTAGATCTGTCCAGGGATGCCTGCAAGAGGTAGTCAAAAAAGTCAAAATGGCGAGCACAACAGTGTGATTGTAGCTTCCTGTTTTTTAAGTGCTACTACAGTAAAAGAACTAGTTATTGAACCCACTGACTGAGAGGTTTACAGCTTAGGGAAGGGGAGGAGATGGGGGGGTATGAAATAATTTTAATTTTAATAATAACATTATATGATATAAGATAATTTTATTTTACTAATCTTTTTATCTTTTTCCAATGCTTGTTTTGATCCAGTTGTTATTTTATTTAATCGTTGTACGCTGCCCAGAGTCGCTTTGTGTGAGATGGGTGGCTATATAAATGTGATATATAAATAAATAAAAATAAATGAAAGGCAATTATCCACGTAAAATGCTTGCATGGAAAAGTGATGGGCACTTTCTTGCCTGCCTGCCTTAGATATAATCGAACAGCTCCTGGAGCAGCTTACCATCAAAACAAGGCAGCTGACGGATGCAAAGCGTGAGTTCCAACAGGAACGGTAAGAGCGACCAGATAAAAGAGCATGCTTACCTTGGTCTTCATAAAAACACAAGGATTTCCTTGCTGGGTTGGGCCAAAAATCCATCCAGCTTATCAGATTTCCAGCAATGACCATCCAGACGCTTCCAGAAAGACCACCAGTGGGTCACTGAAGCAACAGAACTCCCCTGCTGCTGATCCCCAACAGTTAATATTTGAAGGTAGATTGCTTCTGTATAGGGAGGCTCCATTTTTCTAACACAAAATTTCTCATGTCCGTAGGTTTCTCCTGTAAATTCCACAAGTAAGAAGCCTTGTCGCCGTAGTTAGATTAGTTCCATCATCTCTGCATTATAAGGATATTGAGGAAAAATTGACCACATGAAGGCAAGAACCCTTTGCAATTGGTGTCCCCAGCAGTTGTCATTTTAGATTTAACTGCTTCAGAACATGGCAGTTCCATTTGGCCATCATGTGAAGAGTCCAGGTGCATCAGAAAAAACCACTTGAGTCTATTCTGTTTCTAGTATTGAAAAAGAAAAATGAAAGATGGCCACTATTTCATCCTAATAGTCTTCTTCAGGGCCTAACGGATGTGTTGGACTACAGCTCTCATAACTCCCAGCCAGTATGGCCAATGTGAGACATCCGAAGGAGGCTTCAGGTGCTGAATTACAGTGTACCAAGAAGTTCAAGTCTACTGTGTTTATAAAATTTAGCAGAATGTATTAATTTCAAAGGAATAGCAAGTCTAGTATGGGGCATCTTTTCAAGAGCTAGCATACTCAGAGCAATTCTGCACGAGACCTTTCCCCCAAATTAAAACTCTCTAAATCTCACAAGGCTTTCACCACTCCCTGTAGGTTTGCATTTCATTTCCCACTGACTTCACTGTTTCTTCTTTCACCCATCCTCCTATTGTGTGAATCAGCTCTGACAGGAAGGAGGTAGGCAGTTCTTAGAGGTTTACTTTGGCAGCTGCAGGACCTCTCAAGTTCACATCTGAGCAAACTGTCCAACCCACTGGACGTTTTCAAATAGAGCCTAGATGGGGGAGAGTTTAGTGGATTCTGGAACTGAGCAAGGGGCTGGACTGGATGACCTCTGAGTCCCTTTCAGCTCATGACTCCTGCTCTAGGCTCCTCCCCCCCTCTGAAGTTATGGAGGACCTGCCTTCGTTTCTCTTCTGGAGACTGTGGTAGCTGCTGCAGAAATAAACACAGAACCTACTGGCAGCAGCTTGACGTCTGTGCCTTTATTCACTTCCACATCTAATTTGACCAATTATTTATTTTCCCAGAGACAAGTTTGCCAGATATCGACAAGAGGTTGCAAAACAGGCACAAGAAAATCATATTCCACGCAACAAAGGTATCCTTAGTGATTTCAACATGGCCTTTCTCCTCTTCATCCTTGGTGAACTTCTCCTCTTCTTATAGCTTTGCTGACGGGAGATGGACATTTCCATTTCTTCTATCCGCAGTCCTTCACTCCTGTGGTGGACAACTCATTTGGAGGTTATTCCTCTGCTCTTCAAAGCTTTTCCAACTGTTGGAGGTGTGACTTGGTTCAAATACTATGCTGATCGTCATTTTAACACTAAAACACTTTGTATTCACTTGAGGGCCAGAATGGCCTGTCCCTCTTGCACTCCTGGAAAATAAAAACTTTTCATGGTATCTCATTTCTCTTGCTGTGTCCTACAGATGATGTTTTCTTTCTTGATGTGTTACGGGAGTCCCTCACTGGGTGCAAGAGATTGTGAAAGATGTCTGTGAAGTACAGAAATAGGGAAATCATTGTTCATGGGCCAAGAGCAAGCCATAGCTGAATTTGGGTCTACTAAGAGATGCTGAAGGAGAGAGACAACAACGTGAGTTGGAGCCCAGGGCATTTTCACATTGACTCCTAAGTTGCAGAAGGCCACTTGGTGCCAAGAGGGGTTTGGTGGCCCTGTTCCACCCCCAAACACCTTGTATTAAGTATTCTTCATGTCACTCCAGCTGTTTTAACCTAGCCTCCCATGCCTAGCATTAGTGTTTCTCAACCTTGGCACCTTTAAGCTGGGTGGACTTCAACTCCCAGAACTCCCCAGTCAGCATGGCTGGCTGGGGAATTCTGGGAGTTGAAGTCCACCCAGCTTAAAGGTGCCAAGGTTGAGAAACACTGCCCTAGGCCAACAGCCCCTGCTAGCAGTTCCTCTCAGTGCGTATTCTGCATTGTGTGCCTATTTACTCTCTTGTAGTCCCTTGATCTTCAATGAACGTAAATACAAATGTTAAACAGTTCGTGTGTCCTTCTCCCCCCATTTGTCCTCTTTTCCAATGATCTATATTCTCCGTTGCCTGTTCAGATATCTGGTGACCTTAGGGAGATCTGCAGAGCGCATGTTCTGAGTTTCCAACTCCCAGAAAATATGGCAAGACGAGACTTGGCAGCAGACTTTCTCTGCACGGCCTCCCTGCCAGAATTCCCTACCCCCAGATGGAAGAACAGTCTCTTCACTCCTGATATTTAGGAAATTATTAAAACCTTGCTCTTTCGAAGAACATTTGGGCCATGAAAATGAGGGATACACATGCTGGAGGTCAAGGATGGCACGGAGTGGATGTAAGGCTGTTAATGATGGTTCTGAGATCGTCTGCAGGTCATTGGAATGCAATTTATGCTATTGTGCTGAGGCTGCTGAGATTGGTACGAATTGAAGCAGCACATCAGCCTGTGTAATAAACAAGCAAACTGAGTGAACTCTGCCATTGGGAATCCTTATTACGGTTTCGTGGGCTGTGTGAATCCAATGGCGTTTTATTCAGAAAGCCGTAGTTTGCATGAACTCAATCGGATAGAAAGAAATGTTGGGGTGGGGATGGAAACGGGGGGGGAATCGAAACCATGGGAAATGGCTAGTTAGAAAGGGGGAAAGCGAGGAGCCGGGCTTTGCTTTGGCTGGGTGTTTCCAGGACACCGAACCCCACAGTACCCAAGCCCACGTGACCCCATCCTGTTGTATGAATTTAGCCATCTGGCCCATAAGTCCTACCATTCCGGAATCGCGCTGAGTAAGCCAGGGACAAGCCGACTGCCCAGCCAGAGAGGAGCAGCAGAAAAGCAGCCCGCCTGGCAACGGGGTCCGGCCGCCCAGGCCAATGGGAGGCGAGGAAGGGACGCAGCGGCGCTTCCACGCCGGAGCCGGCGGGTCGCGGGAGGCGGGCGCTTGACCAGCGCTTCGGCAGAACCCCATCTCCAAGAAGCGACTGCGGCGGCTCCAGCCCATCTCTCTGGCTCAGGTGGGGTGGGCTGGGTAGCTGAGCGCGGCTGGCGCTGCTGGCGCTTGGACGGGCTCTGCCTGGGCACTGCCGGTGGCTCGGCTGAGGCTCCGCCCGAGGAGCA